TTTTCATTTCCTGTATGATTTAAAATAAGTTAATATAAGCATTTCTTGGATCTGACTAACCACCCAAGCTATAAAGTGTTGTTAAGTGCAGTCAAGCTGATTCTGACTCATAGTGACTCCATGTGTATAGAGTAGAACTGTTCCTTAGGGCTTCCAAGGCTGTGACCTTTAGAAGCAGATTGCTAGGCCAGTCTTTGGAAGCATCTCTGGGTGAGTTCAAACTGCCAACTTTTTGGCTAGTCTATAGCTTAACCACATGCACCACCCAGGGACTCCTTAAGCTATATGTACTCCCAAGCAATTACGCTTCCCACACCTGAGTTCGCATATACACCAGTATTGATACTAACAGACCTTCTTTTTTTTTAATTTAAATTGTGATTTGGGTGAAAGTTTACAGAGCAAATTCACTTTCCATACAGCAGTTCACGTACACTTTGTCTCAGGACATTGACTACAATTTACCCCAATGCAACAGCTCTCCTCCCACTTCTTCCCCATAGTTACTTCTTCCCTGTGTCCTTCCCTCCATGCACTGTTGCCCCTTATGTCCCTGTGCATACAAGCCCTTCTTTTCTCCCATGATTGTTCTCTCCAAGGAGTGTATCTACCTAGTGAAAATGTACACCTCATACGCCCATCTTTTGTTTGGCTGGAAGCCACAGGAGTGGGTTCAATTCCAGATATGAAGGGCAGCTAGGGCCCATAGTCTCAGGGATTCCACCAGGCTCTATCAGACCAGCAAACCTGGTCCTTTTTCTTCCCCAAAAAATGATTTTGAGTTTTGTTCCACATTGTTCTCCCTCTCTATCCAGGATCTCCTGCACAGATTCCCCTCTGAGTGGTTGACAATGGTAGCCAGGCATCATATAGTTCTTCTGGTCACATAGTCATATAGGCTGAGGATCACAGGGTGCACCAGTTGCTTGGACTAACTGTTTCCATGAATCTTTGGTTTTCTTCATTATTCTTTGTTCTGGACAAGGAGAGACCATCATTGCATCTAGATGGCTGGCTGCAAGCTTTTAAGATCCCAGTCACTGCTCACCAAAGTAGGAGGGTGGTACAATGTTTTGGCAGTGTGTTATGCCAATTGAGCTTGATGTCCTCTGTGACTATGGCTAACAGACCTTAATTGCTAAAACTTAAGAACAGCAGCAAATTCAGTACGTAAATGATGTGTTTACACCAAGAGAAGTCCAAATAACTCAGAAAATAAAAACAAATGCATTCCTATGGCTCAAATAGAGAAATATGGGAAGCACAAAATCATGGCATGGTACAGAGACTAGTCATGGCAAACTCCAAAGATCCTGTGTTTGTCCTAGTTGGTATCATATGTATTTTTTGAGTAGCCAAAAAGAGGACAATGTCATAAATTGAACTTATTGGTCTTGCGGTTATTTTTGTGCATAATTTTTCACTCTGTTCTTAAGAAATTTATATCTAGATTTGTATCTGTACATGGTTATGAGTCAGAACTGACTCAATGGCACTGGGTTTGGTTTGGGTTTTTTTTTTTTTTTTTTCGTTTATTTGTTTACATAATAAAATGCATGTAAGTCAACACTGGTAGTGAAGAAAAAAGAAGACTGTATAAAGTAAGTTTGACAAACACATTTCATTTCATTTTTAGTATACTGGAAAACCAGAATACAGACATTAACTCTTAGTGAATATTAAGGTGCCTAATAGTTACAGGTACAGTATAAAACTGACTGAAAAATAACTATGTGATTTTGAACAATTTTTTAAAACCTGTTTGTTTTAAAGTAAAATGCGAATACTGATATATAGGTTGGTCAAGGTCATGTGTAATAATATTATAAAAAGTGCAAAGTTCTGGGCACAAAATAGGCACTGAAACTACTGTTTTCAAGTGCTCTCTGCTTCTCAAATGCTTCCTTAAGGAAAAGAACCCTGCTCTCACTGTCTTTTACATCCAAACACAGTATTTTTGTTGACTACTCTGCATCTAAATCCATCAACGTAAAAGGTAAAAGAGGTTTCTGCTCCAAATAGCAGCAGCCAAAATACCTCTACTGAAATAACAGCACAGTGACAAATCACAATTCTGTTTCCAATCTTGTTAACTCCAGGATGCTGTGATACTAGGATATTCATACTACCCTAAACCTAAAAAAGGAGCTCTGGTAGCATAGTGCCTAAGGCACTTGACTGCTAACCAGAAGGCTGGTGGTTCAAACCCACTAGCCACTCCTCAGAAGGAAGATGGGGCAATCTACTTCCATAGTGATACTGCCTCGGAAACCCAAGGAGGGGTCACTATGAGTTGGGTCTGACTTGATGGCACATAACAACAACAACAAACCTAAAAAACCAAACTCACTGCCATCAAGTCAATTCTGACTCATAGCAACCCCCATTGGGTTTTCAAGGCAGTAAATCTTTATGGAAGTAGATTGCCCCAACTTTTTTCTGCAGAGTGGCTGGTGGGTGTGATGGGTTTGAACCACCAGCCTTCTGGTTAGCAGACAAATGTCTTAAGTACTGCACCACCAGAGTTCCTTTCTACTACACTAAACATAAGCACTTCCATTTGTTTCATAAAACTTTCAACAAAGGCTTTGTGTTTGCTTATATCCTTGAAAAGAAAGATTTAAACTCATTTAAAACAACACCCACACAAAAGATTATCTGCAATCCCCTTAACATCTGGCAAGTTACTTAAAAAAAGATACGGACAAAATTAGTGTTCAAAAAACACAATAGCACATTTTTCACTGTCAAAAAGTTACAGTTTATAACTATCTGCAGATAATGAGAATAGAGAAGTGCCAGGTAGACAAGGAGTAGTTACTAGAGCTCCAATCAGAAGAGATTAGGTTTGAGAAGTTCCTTTAAAAAGTCAAATAGGGGCAGGATAGGAGACAGGCAGGCTTTCAGGACAATACTGCAATCAACCTGAAATTGGCCTGCCTATTCCACTCCTACAGGAGCTCTGGTAGCATAGTGGCTAAAGCATTTGACTGCTAACCAGAAGGCTGGCGGTTCAAACCCAACAGCCACTCCTCGGAAGGAAGGTTGGGCAATCCTACTTCCAGTAGTGATACTGCCTCGGAAACCCAAGAAGGGGTCACTATGAGTCGGGCCGACTTGACAGCAAACAACAACAACAACATTCCACTCCTGGGAAGGCAGGTTGGGCAATCTACTTCCATAGAGATACCGGAGGGGTCGCTATGAGTAGGGTCCGACTCATGGCACATAACAACAACATTCCTTTCTACAGGAGCTCTGGTGTCATAGTGTGGTGTAGTGCCTAAGGCATTTGACTGCTAACCAGGAGGCTGGTGGTTCAAATCCACCAGCCACTCCTGTGAAGGAAGATTGGGCAATCTATTTCTTTAGTGATACTGCCTCAGAGACCAAAGGAGGGGGTCACTGTGAGTTGGTTCTGACCCGGCAGCACTGAATTTGGTTTTTTTTGGTTATTCCTTTCTATGTAAGATCTGATGAATTGGAATGGACTTGACGGCAGTGAGTTTTTTGTGTTTTTTTAATTCCCTTCTAATACTGACTCTCAAGTTTCCAGCTTCTGCTGAGTCAACTTGGGATTTCTTTTAAATATTGCTTTCACATAATCCAAGATTGTTAGAGTTGTTAAAGTGATGGCAGGCCACAGGCTGTCTGCCCACACCAGCAGAACATCCGGGTTGGGACATCCGGGTTGGGATAAGTCAGACTTCAAAACTATTTTTTAGTACCGTGCAACTTTGATTTTCAAACTCTCCCTTAAAAATCTGGTATCACTGAAACTTCCTAAAGGAATAACCAACTACAGCTGGGAGGATTCTTGTAAAGATATGGTGTTTTACTAACATAGGATCGTAATAGAAATGTTTCACAAGCAGGAAAACTGAGGTACAGAAATTGAATCACAAAACCTGGATGTAAATGGAACCAAGCTCAGTCACAGTTACAGTTTTTTCAGTTTCCTAAACTTTTTTTTTGGGAAGCCCACCACCAACTCTTTAAAATCTTAAGTAAATGGTAGCTATGCTTTCCTGGAGCGCATCCTTCCAATCACTTGGTTTCCATACACGCTCTTCTGGTGCAATAGGGCGTGGGGGTGGGGAGCGACGTTCTTCTTATCAAAAGTTTAAAACAGCAAGTTGTATTTTATTTGACCCCTCTTTCACCTTCAGAGTGAATGCACAGGCTCAGGAACAGGCACTTTAATGAGACACGTCTAAAAAAAATCGATTTTACAGCAGGTGGAAGAAGAAAAAATATTACAGGGAAAGGGCACGTTTTCATTACTGAAACCAAGACAGCTCGAGTCACGGTTCTTGGAATCTGCCTGGAAACCTGAGGCAGATGTTTCCGAAGACAGAAAGGCGGCATTACTTAAATGTCCGGCATTACTTAAATGTCCGGTTAATGGTAAATAAACCTTAACGATCCTAACGATGTTTTAATTACTGATGAAGTCTTGGGAACTTCTTTTTAAGAAATTATTCTTAGAACGTTTAAATAAAGTGGCAATATGCCAGCTTAAGGCGTGACGTTCCAAAGCTTCACCTTTCCCCACTTCTGCCTGGACCTACCCGTACACAAATGGGTTTCAGATCGCGTCCTCATTCCCTCGGCTGTTGCTACGCTCAGCTCACAACTGTTTCCCATTACTGCCGGCAGGATGCCGGGGAAATCACGTCTGCCTTAACTTAGGGAACAGACGTGTGTGGAACTGGAACGGAACCACTGGGGGCTGGGGGTGGTGAAGGGCTGGGCCGGGTGGGAAGGCAGAGGGCTGAGGATCGGGAACTTTACCCAGATTTAACAGACCAGGAACCGGGAGTGATACGGCACGAGGAACTGGGAGAGGAGGAAACTTTAGCAATGGAGGAAAGTGAACATCAAGTGGCGAGCAAACTGCAGTCTGGCCGGAGAACGGCTTGCTGACGGCAGTCAAGCCAGAAAGTCCAGTCCTGCCGAATCCGCCCCGACCACCCCCTTCGCCCCCCTGAGCATCCTACCTGGCAGCGCCCCGGCTCGGAGCCGGCGTCTGGCTCGTCCGCAGCCTCTCCTCCTCTTCCTCTTCCTTGTCCCGGGAAGGGCTTCGGGGAGCGAAGAACCGGGAGAAGCTGTGCCAGGGGGTGCCGGTCCTTCTCCGACCACCGGACATCTCCCTAGTGCGGCTGCCGGCCGGTGTTGACAGCGGGGAACTGGCGAGGCAGTGCTGTGCGCTAGTACTCCAGCGCTGCGGCATCCGGCGAGCGCAGGACCAACAGGCGCGGGCCGCCGGCGCGCCTCAATCCATCGCGGGCTGAGAGGCGCAGGGGCGACACGCTCCCCGCGCCTCTGCTCACCGCGCAGCAGCGGCTGCCCCTCCCCCCGCCCTCGGCGGCCGGCCCGCCCCCGGGAGGAGCCAGAGAACGTGGCACCTCCCCGAGTTCCGCAAGGCACGGCCTGCCGGGTGCGGAGATCCCCAGGAGGGCGCGCGCCGCCTGCTGAAGTGGATGCCAGGATTCCCGCCCAAAAGAGCTCAAGCTGCTGCTGCTTTGGCTTTGCTTTCATTCCTTTTGTGTTACTGATTTGTTCTGTTTCCTACAGCCAGTGTTCGTAAACAGTTTTCAGACTTTTGAAAGAAATTTATGAAGGAAGACACTTAGTAAACAGCAGAGCTGGGCTGCTGCCTTTTCGCCCACAAACTACCCCAAACACTTTTTCAACCAGTTCTGCAAAAGACGCGGTTACCCCAGAGCGAAAGCTCTGACAGGGAATAGAAGGCGGTACCTGTCACGATCCGCCAGAAACTCTTTTCTTGGTCAGTTAGTTTACAAGTGGAGTAACTCCTTCTAACATAGAAGTTCGTTAAATCTCTAACATTTCAAGTTACACACTGCTCCGCCGGCACTCTTCCAATAGCGACACTGAACAAAATAACAAGCATGATTCAAATTTTCTTACTATTGGTAAACGCTGAAAGAAGTATTTTGTAGTTACTAACGGATCTGACATCTGGAAAGGAAAAGGTTCTTAAGATTTGATTTTAAATAAAGGTCTAAATACAGTAGTATGGATTTCCTTACATTTCCATGCCTTAGGGATTACTCTGGTAGCATAGTGGCTAAGACACTTGCCTGCTAACCAGACCCCTGGGTTCAAACTCACCAGCCACTCCTCGGAAGGAAGGTTGGGCAATCCTACTTCTGTGATACTGCCTAGGAAACCCAAGGACGGGTCGCTATGAGTCGGGTTTGACTCGACATAACAACAACAACAAGGGATTAATATAAAAAACATGCAGAGGCTCAGTCACCCATGTGTTTTGATTTGTTTGCTTATTTAAAGCCAAACTCCCATGAAAAATATATAGAAATCAGGAAGGAGACAGGGTGCATTTATTCACTAAAATTTTATACTAGGAAATAAGATGAAAATGAAACTTGCAGGGACGTTTAACTAGGGAAAGAAGAGAACCTTAGGGTCATCCTTCTTCTAGTTTAGGGGTACTAGAGAAAAAGCAATGAGTAGATTCCACGTCTGTAAGCCCACGTCATTTCAGAACCAACTGGTGGCATTTGAGTTCCCCTTCTAGCCCAAAGCTGCCTCCAATAGGCACTCCAGCCCCTAATAACTGCCACACAGGCCTAAGACACTCACCCTGATTTGTTTTGGCTGGAATTAACCCACAGATTTAAATCATCCCAGTTTCCTTCAACTGGGTTCCTCCCAGATTATCCCTCAAGTTTTACCAGTGTGTTTCTCTTTTGTAAATCCTTCTTCCTTCTCTGTGAGTCTGAGAGACTAAGAAGAGACTAGAATGGTATACCAGGATAAGACAAGTAAAGTTCCTAATTCTAGCTTTCTTATCTTAGGAGAATCTCCATTTAAAGTCCACTTGCCAGAAAGCTGAAAGAGAGTACAATAGCAAAGAAAGTATGGAACAAACTGTTTCCTTCAGCTAGAAGGCCCAGAGAATAATTTATCTCCTAAAAGAAATGTTAGATGACTAGCAGATGTGTCCGTTTGTACTGTGACCCAAAAGGTCCTACATTCTAATGCTCACAGAAAGAGTGGCTTGTTCAGGAAGTCTTTCTGGGAATAACATTGGGTGGGACAAGTAAAATTTCTTAATGAATCATGGTTTTAACTAATAATACTTCTCTTAAGAATTTCTCCAAGAAATAGATCTCAAGGAAAAAGTGCTGATAGTCCTCATAATTCTTCAATAGCCAGTCTTATTCTGTTTGGAGAGGCATCAGAATCATTATGTATAAAGTCCTCAATATTGAAATTTTCTACAGTGTTGCTGGTGAGTTTGAGTAGTAGAAATAATACTATTGTCAATCCAGCTAGAATTCCTTCTTTCCTTAAGTAGGATTGTTTCCTTTATAGCCATAGAATGCCATAGCTATTAGTGAACAGCTAATTCTTCTGTCCTTAAGTAGGATTGTTTGCTTTATAGCCATAGAATGCCATAGCTATTAGTGAACAGCTAATTTGCAAAAGTATAAAATAAAAAAAAAAAAAAAAAAACATTACCATGCAGTGGATTCTGTAATAGCGACTCTTTAAGACAGAGTAGAACTACCCTATAGTTTTCCAAAGCTGTAGTCTTTACAGAAGCAGACTGCCACATTGGTCTCCCACTGAGTGGCTGGGGGTCTCAAATGACCACTTTCAGTTAGCAGCCAAGTGCTTAACTATTGAACCATGAGGGTTCCTGCAGAATTACAAAATAATTTAAATATTATTAGAGGCCCCTAGAGTGAATAGGTGCCCAAGAAGCAGGACCAGTTGTTGTTGTTGTTATGTGCCATCAAGTTGGACCCAACGCATAGTGATCCCTCTTTGGGTTTCCAAGGCAGTATCACTGCAGAAGCAGATTGCCCAACCTTACTTCCGAGGAGTGGCTGGATCAGTAACCCTACCGAAATATGAACATATCCTATATATTGTTGGAAGGAGCTCGGGTAGCACAATGACTAAGGCATCTGACTGCTAACCAGAAGGTTGGTGGTTCAAACCCACCAGCCGCTCTGCGGAAGCAAGACTGGGTAATCTACTTTTGTACAGATTTACACAGAAACCCAATGGGGGTCACTATGAGTGAGAATCAGCTTGATGGCTGTGGTGGTTATGTTTTTGTGTCAACTTGGCTGGGCCTGGTTGAGTGGCTGGGCAGCTGGTGGTAGTTTTTCCCCATGATGAGACTGGCAATCAACTCCATGGTGGGATCTACTACAAGCAGCTGAGTAGCTGCCTTTAGGATGTGGTCTGCTTCCTGTAT